AGTTTACTGAGAATTTTTATCAAAAATGGGTATTAGGAGCCTCCCTGGTGGCTCAAGGGGTTAAGACACAGACCTATGAGGCAATCTGCAGCCACTGCTGCAGGAGTTCAAACCCCAAGCCCGCCAGTGAGCTACCCACATGGCACAACAGACCCCTCCTGTCTCACCTGCTGCTGCCCTCAGCAATGTATTTCATCAGTCTGCCTGTTCTGTTCCCCACTGTCTCTGATGAATCCTCTCACCCCCCCCCCCACCCTCTGGCCCGTACCCAGTTCTTATATGCATAAATGCATAAATCTTAAAAAAATAAAAAAGAAAACAAAAAACAAAAATGGGTGTTAGATTTTGTCAAATGCTTTTTCTGCATTTACTGATAGATCATGTGATTTTTCATTTTAGGCAATTTCTGAGTATCTTTCCAAAAGAGATGATAGAAATTGGTAGCATTTCTTTGATAAATGTTTGGTAGAATTCACTAGTGAACCCATCTGGGCCTTGTGTTTTCTGTTTTGGAAGGTTATTAATTATTGATTCAATTTCTTTAATAGGCATAGGATTCAGATTTCCTATTTCTTCTTGTGTGAGTTTTGATGAATTGTCTTTGAAGTAATTGTTCTATTTCATCTAGGTTGCCAAATTTGTGGGCATAGAATTGTTCAAGGTATTCTTTTGTTGTTCTTTTAATTTCATGAGATCTGTAGCAATGACCCTTATCTTACTTCTGTTATTGGTAATTGTGTGTTCTCTGTTTTCTTTTTTGTTTGTTTAATTAGAGGCTTATTGATTTCATTGATCTTTAAAAATACTCAGCTTTTGCTTTTTGTTGATATTCTCTATTGGTTTCCTGCTTTCAACTTCACTGATGTCTGCTCTACATCTTATTTTTTATTTTCTTCTGCTTACTTCGGATTTAATTTGTTCTTTTTTAGCTTCTGAAGTTCAAAACAGGTCATTGATTTTTAGATCTTCCTTTTCTGATATATGTATTCAATTATGATATTTCCCCTCTAAGCACTTTTGCTGCATCCTATAAATTTTGGTTAGTTATATTTTCAGTTAGCTAAAAAATACTTGTAACTTTTCTTACAATTTCTTACTTAATCCATGTATTATTTTGAAGTGTATTGTTTAACTTTTATGTATTTTGTGATTTTCCTGGTATTGATTTCTAGTTTTACTCCACCGTGTTACAAGAGCAGATATTATACTATTTATTGTTTACAATTTATTTATTATTAAATTTATTAAAGATGTTTTATAATCCAGAATGTGGTATACCGTGGTGAATATTAATTTCATATGATCTTGAAAAGAATGTGTGTTCTGGTATTGTTGGATGTAGTAGTCTATAGATGTCAGAAATATCAAGTTGATTGATGATATTGTTGAATTCAATTATGTCCTTAATGATTTTCTGCCTGCTAGATCTGTCTATTTCTGTGAGCAGGAATATTAAATTCTTCAATTGTAATAGTATACTCATTTATTCCTTCTTGCAGTTCTATCAGTTTTTGCCTCTGAAATTTGATGCTATTATTAGGTGCATACACATTAAGGACTGTTATATCTTCTGGAAGAATTGATCCTTTTATCATTATGTAATATCCTCCCTTATCCCTGATAACTTTCCTTTAAGTCTGCTCTGTCTGAATTAGTATAGCTACTATTGCTTTCTTTTAACTACTGCTAACATGGTATCTTTATCTATTTATCATGTGTTTTAATCTATACATGCCTTTATATTTAAAGTGTGTTTCTTATAGAGAACAGTTAGATCATGTTTTTTCAACTACTCTGACAATCTCTGACTTTCTATTGGTGCATTTAGACCAGTCATTCAAAGTGTTTATTGAAATAATTGGATTAATTTCTACTGTATTTGTTGCTATTTTCTATTTGTTGCCCTTGGTCTTTGTCCCTACTTTTGGCTTTTTCATTTTTGCCTTTTGTGGTTTTAATGAATATTTTTTAATTATTTTTCTCTTCTAAGCATATTATTCTTTTTTTTGTTTGTTTGTTTGTTTTTTAGGTATTGTTCTAGAGTTTGCAATACGTTTACAACTCTCCAACCATCTACAAATACTACTATATAACCTCATATGTAGTGTGAGTACCTTACTAATAAAATTATTGTAATTCTCCCCTGTAATGCCAGCAAGATGCAGAGCAGGATATCTGTGGCAGATGGGTAAAGGAGAGTCCTGGAGCCCTCAGTGGCTTTTCAGGCTTTTATATCATTTGTAGTGCGACAACTAGATACACAGCAGGCACCCCCCACCCCAATCCTCACTCTTGCTGGAGTCTTTGGCATTCTCTTGTGGTCTCTGCTTCTCTTTTGTTGCTCTTTCTCCCTCTCTTGCTCTCGTGGCATCTGTGGCGCCACACTTAGAAGCACAGTCTCTCAGCCCAGGCGCACCCACTTACACATGCCCACACCCTATTCTGGGTGTCCGACATCAGACACACGTGCCAGCCCACAGGTGCCTATCATTAATACTAACATGGGCGAGCAGAAAATCCTGATAATTTTCATTTACCCTACATTCCCCCATTCCTTGTATCACTTTTGTCACGCATTTCATTTATACATAAACATATATAAGATATATATATATATATATATGAAAGCATACATAATCAAGTACATTGTTGTTGGTATTATTTGAAACAAACTTATATCAATTAAGAATAAAAAAAAATAAGTTTTATTCTACCTTTACTTATTTCTTTTTTGATGTCCTTCTTTTATGTAGATCCAAGTGTCTGACTTATTTTCCTTCTCTCTAAAGTTCTTCCTTTAACATTTCTTGCCAGGTGGAGCTACTGGCAAAAATTACCTCAATTTTTTTTTTTTTTGCTTGTTTCTTCATTTTTTTTTTAAATAGAGGCATGTTTTACTTATTTATTTGTTTGTTTGTTTGTTTGTTTTGTTTATACATGCACTGGGTACAGTCAGAAGTGTGGGAGGGTGAGAGAATTCACCAGAGCCAGAGTGGAAAGCAGAACAGGCAGACTGACTAAGTACACTGCTGAGGGGAGCAGTGGGCGGCAGGAGAGGTCTGTGCGCCATGTGGGACCCTCCTCCAGTGTGGCCAGGGAGCAGCCGGGGATCGAACCGGCGTTGCTGAGGCCGCGGGCAGCTTTGAAACCCAGCGCTCAAACGTTGCGTCACCGGGGAGGCCCTGTTTCTTCATTTTTGAAAGAAAATTTTGTGGAGCAGTTTTAAATTGGTGTTTTTTTTTTTTTTCCCTCTCTTAACACTGTTAATATTTCCCTTCCTCTCTTGTCTTCATAGTTTCTGAGTTGAATGTAAGGTGTTTATTTTTTTTTTTTCTCTAGGCTTTTTTTTTCCTTTATCTTTGATTTTCTGTAATGTCTTTTGAAAATTATATGCCTAGGGCCTCCCCGGGTGGCGCAGTGGTTGAACACTGGGCTGCGAAGCTGCCTGCAGCCTCTGCAGCGCTGGTTCGATCCCAGACCACTGACGAGGGTCCCACATGGCGCGACAGACCTTTCCTGCTGAGCCCGCTGCTCCCCTCAGCAGTGTATTTCGTCAGTCTGCCTGTTCTGTTTCTGACTCTGGTGAATTCTTTCACCCTCTCGTGCTTCTGACTGTACCCAGTGCTTGTATAAATAAATCTTTTTTTAAAAAAAAAGAAAAAATAAAATTATATGCCTAGGTGCCTTTTTTTTTTTTTAAATTTATGCTTGTTGGTATTTATTCTGTTTTGTGTTCTCTGGGCTTTGGTTTGGCCTCTGACATCAATTTGGGGGAAATTCTCAGTAATTATTTCAAATGTGTCTTCTTTTCCTTTCTTCTCCCTTTGTATTCCTTATATATATGTATATATGTGTATATATATGTATATATGTGTATATATATGTATATATATGTGTATATATGTATGTATGTATATGTGTGTGTGTGTGTGTGTGTGTGTGTGTGTGTGTGTGTGTGTATGGAGCTGGAATGGGCCACAGTGCAGGTTTTCTATGATCCCGGCAGACAAAGGTAAGGGAGGAGTCAGAGTCCTGGAGCCCTCAGTGGCTTTTGCAAGCTTTTATTGGGATTTACCAGGCATAGGGCAGGCTGGGGGGTTGGGGGGCTGGGAGGCCCGCCAACCTCCCAGTCCCCAGCAAGTCTTTACTCTATCTGGGCTCTCTGGTGGTCTCTGCTGCTCTCGTGGTTCTGCTTCTCTGCTTCTCTTCTTCTCCTGGCGTCCCTGTGACACCACCCTTAAAAACACAGTCTTAGCCCAGGTGAATCCCATCTACATATGCCCATACCCTATTCCAGGTGCCCACCATCAGGCATGCATTCAGGACCGCAGGATTCCGTCTTCTATCCCAATGGCGGGAGGGCAGAAAAGCCTAATACTTTTACCTTACCCTTCAATATGTTACACCTTTTATAAATATCCTGCCATCTTTTGCTATTTTGCTCATTTTCCTTCAGTCTTCTATTTGATTTTCAATTTTGGAGGTTTCTATTACTATATTTGCCTGCTCAAAGATTCTTTCCGCAGCTGTGTCTAGTCTACTAATAAGTCCACCAAAGGTCTTCTTCATTTCTGTTTTAGTATTTTTATCTCTAACATTTATTTTGGTTTTTTCTTAGGATTTTCATCTCTCTGCTTGCATTGCCTATGTTTTCTGCCATGTTGTCTGCTTTATCCATTTGCGATTTTATCATATTAATCAATTATTATAAGTTCCCAATTTGATAATTCCAACAACCCTGCCAGGCCTGGTTCCAAGGTTTATTCTGTCTCTTCAAGTTACATTTTTTTGGCTTTTGATATGCCTTATGAAATTTTTCCTTATAGCATAATATTCCAAATAAAAGGTACTGCTCTGTATAGGCCTTTACTAATGTTGTGATGTGGTATGAGGGGGCGGGAGAGCAATCCATAGTCCTATGAGCAGGTTTCTTTCAGTGAGCATTGCCTCTATATTGTAAACTTCCAAAATGAATCTTAGTTTTTTTCCTTTCCTCATAGATTGGTGAAGATGACAAGCATGGATTGGAGTTGGGTATTTCCCTTTTCCCACATGGAAGGCTGGAGCTGATTGGATTTAGAGATTATCCTCTCCCAGGTCAGTTAAGTTATGGTTAATTAGGTTCTCCTGAGGGCAGTCCTCATTAAAAACAGAGTGCTCAAAAGTTTCTTCTCTCCTATCTGCCAGACCTGGTTGAGATCGTAGAGGTAAATTTCACAACATCGTGGAGACCTGGCCATGATTATGTCCTCTGGAGTTTTTTTTAACTCTCAGAAGTACCCACACTGAGCCTCCAGCAATCTGTCAGTCACAGCTCCTGTTTTCCTGCTCCACACTGGGCCCCTGGCGGTTTCCATTTGTTTGTCTCCACTCTGGTAAGTTTTCTCTGTATTGGTTTGTCTGTCTCCAGTCTTTGGGCTGTGGTTTGCTCTGTGCCTTTACCTCACTCACAGATCACAGAAGGACTATGGATTTGCAGTCTTTTTAGGTTTTCACTTAGGATGGAGTGGCCACTTCTAGGCTCTGTACATGCAGGGCAGGGAATTGGAAGGGCTTTTCTTACTTAAAAAAAAAAAAAATCTCAAGAAGGTGGAACAAAACAAATGATTACAGAAAACACACACGACACAAACATAGATGCATCTCCCACTTGACCCTCTGATCCTTCAGTGACGGGGCTGTGATGCCTCTTCCCTTTGTCCATTGATCACTTCTCTCTTGATGCTTGGCCTGACCCACAGGTTTTCAGCATATTCCCTGTGGTGATCATCTCTCCTTTGCTCCCTTCAGGATTCATGGTTCTCAGCTGTTCTTCATAGTCACCAACATTTTGATTTCCCACCATAAGATAAACCTATTCCTTTTTCACTATTCTGTCACCTTTCAGCCATAGCCAGAGACATAAAATTCAAGCTTCTTAGTTCCTGTAGGTCTGAGAGTGTGTACAAATTTAATCGGGTTCCAGGGTGAAGAATATGCTGTGGATTGCAAGGTAAGTAAGAATTCACTACCCTGCAGATGAAGCTCTTTCCCACCAAAAGCTCACTTTTACATATGGCAGTATATAGAAGTGTGTCCCCTATTATATACAAAAGTACCTTTTATTTGGTACATCATGTCCTGCTATCAAGAAAAAGTGTATAAGGCATACCAAATGGCAATTCTTTAAGCATTCGATAATCAGAGCTTACAGAGCATGATAATTACCCACATCTGGTAACTCAGAATTCTCTCATCTGAATAGTGTCTTCAGGTTCTCATTAGTTTTTACTACCCACATAGTTGCCTTATTCTTTTATAGTCATCTAGTTAGGTATTCATTCTATCCTATTCTACTGATGTTATTTGGTATACAAACAGGATTTCACACTTATTTATTTCTTTGTTCCATAAAAATAAATTTCATTTGTTTAGAAAATGGAATCTGCATGCTTGAAATAGTTCCTGTTTTTAAGAAACTTAGAAATTAATAAGGGAACTGATCAAGGTGACTAAGACCTTGAATGTAGGACAGTATGAAACAGTCAACTCCCAGGAGCATATTTTGTATTGTTTTGATCTGGGGCAAGTAGGGAATATTTCATGAAGGAAATCACTTTTTTTTAACTGTATCTAGTAGGATGAATAGACTTCAGAAACAGATGATGGGCAGTTCAGATGGGAAGACAAGAAAAGAGGCAGAATGTTAGGAACAAAATCTGGGGAGTGTAAATAACTCAAATAAATTGATGGACATCTGTAGGGAAGTGATAAAAGAGAAAAGCAGATTGCAGGTTCAGTTCCAGTGTGAGGATCTATAGTGCCATGATGAGACTTCAGGGCATTTACTGGACAGCAACAGAAAGCCACTAAAGGTGATTGTAAGGGGCAGGAACTGGACACAGTGCAGGTTTTCTGATCCCATGCAGACCAGGTAAAGGAGCAGTCAGAGTCCTCAGTAGTTTTGCAGGTCTTTTATTTGGGGTTCACCAGGCATATGGCAGGCAGGGGTGCTGGCTGGGGGACTGGGAGGCTGGCAGGCCTCCCAGCCCCCAGCAAGTCTTCACTCTATCTGGGCTCTCTGGCGTTCTCTGCTTCTGCTTCGGCTTCTCCTTCAGGTTCTGCTGCTGCTGGCTGGGGCTGCTAGCGTCCCCCCGTGACGCCGCCCTTAAAAGCACAGTCTTAGCTCAGCTGAATCCCATCTACCTATGCCCACACCCTATTCCAGGTGCCCGCCATCAGGCATGCATTCAGGACAAGGATCCATCATCTATCCTGATGGCGGAAGGGCAGAAAAGCCTGACATTTTCTTTACCCTACAGTCCACCCCCTCAGGGTTTTCTGCCATATAGTCTATACATATAACACAATTTCTAAGCAAACAAACAATGCAGCCATGGCCCACAAAAGCAAATACATCAAATAACAAAATACACATAACAAAATACAACAGAACACAAATAGTCCAGGCAGGGCACCAACCAAGTGCAAAAGACAATTATTGGTACCAGCAGATGAGCCACAAATCTGCTGCGAAGGCACTGCTCATACGAGGGAGGGGAAATCACACACGGCATCTGCTATAACACACCAGGAGCCGTCAGGCTTCCTGGCCTTCTCTGGCTGTAGTCTCGGCTACAAGGCACACACAGCATCCACCCCCAGGATGCACTAGCTCTGGGATTGGCAATTTTATTCTGTTGGGGTAATCGCCAACCCTCAGGGTTTCTGTCTGCAGTCGCTCCAACACTCGGCCTTCATGGCCACCCATGCGACTCACAGACCCCTGCACTCAAGCCAACCCACTGCACAAGCACATGGGTCGGGGATCCAAACTCTGCATTCGGCTTGGGCTCCACCCCAAGCCACATTCCCCACCCATCCCCAGGACAGGTTCCTCAGCTCCTCACCCTCGCTCAAGAATGAGCAGGGCATCACCCACAGGTGATTTTACGAGACTCACAGTTCTTCAGCATACCCAGGCTGCTTAACAGCCGCTCAGGGCTTCTCAACTTATCATCAGTACCAGCTTTTGCTTTCTCAGTTGGCTTTTCTCCTCCACCTGGCCACTGGGCATACACAGGCTGCTTTTGGCCATCTAGGCCCACTGGCCACCCCAGATTCTCAAAAAATAAACATAACCTGCTAAGGTCCTCCGCCTTCTGGCAGGATTGTCAGTCCAAAATCATCAGTTCATCAGTCTATCAGTCCATTGGCCTCTCCCTGCTTCAGCAATGGCCTGCTGCCTCAGGGGTCATTGGCTGGTCCTTTCCGGTGTCGTTGGCTGGTCCTATCCGGTGTCGTTGGCTGTCCTTTCCGGTGTCGTTGGCTGGTCTTTCGGGCGTCTCCTTCACGCCAGGTCTCATCCTGTAGCTCGTGGACGTATCCATCTTCTATACCGCCATGGTGCCTCCAGCGTCGTCACAGGCAAAGTCTGTTCTCCTTAGTCCCTCCAGGTCTTCGGAGGGCTCCAATACCCGTCTGCATGGATCTTGCCGACTTACGCCAATTGTAAGGGGCAGGAACTGGACACAGTGCAGGTTTCTGATCCCATGCAGACCGGGTAAAGGAGCAGTCAGAGTCCTGCATGCTTGTTTTGCAGGTCTTTTATTTGGGGTTCACCAGGCATATGGCAGGCAGGGGTGCTGGCTGGGGACTGGGAGGCTGGCAGGCCTCCCAGCCCCCAGCAAGTCTTCACTCTATCTGGGCTCTCTGGCGTTCTTGCTTCTGCTTCGGCTTCTCCTTCAGGTTCTGCTGCTGCTGGCTGGGGCTGCTAGCGTCCCCCCAGTGACGCCGCCCTTAAAAGCACAGTCTTAGCTCAGCTGAATCCCATCTACCTATGCCTACACCCTAGGGAAGGTGCCCGCCATCAGGCATGCATTCAGGACAAGTGATCCATCATCTATCCTGATGGGGAAGGGCAGAAAAGCCTGACATTTTCTTTACCCACTAAAGGTGATTAAGCAGGAAAGAAGCATGGATAGTACCTTGTTTTATTTCAGTCCATAATCCTAGTCTGTTGAAATCCTTTTGCTCTTGAGTCTATCATTAAAACTATAAGCAGACTCCCTGCAGGTTTGATCGGCATTCTTGAATATGCTTCTCTAATTTGGTTACAAAAATGTCAAAGCTGCAAAAGTCAAAGCCTTAGTCAAAACCCTGAAACATGACCTTCTTCCAGGCTGATGATCACTCAAATTGAGTTATGCTTGTCCAACCACATAATACCTGGGTGTTATAGCATCGAGTCCATAGTTCTCAACTGTAATAGCAGATAGAATTGATTGCTTCTATCAATACACATGACTTAAATTTATTTACTTATTTAAATCTTTTACTGACCCTGTGAGATGAGGCTATTGCCACTTACTTTGCATTCCTTTAAGCTGCAACAGCTTTTCTGTCCCAGACACTCGAATGTCAGTTCCAATCCTGGAGTTGATCAAAAACCAGGGAAAGTATGAATTTTCTCAAGTAGATCCTTCAGATAACTATAAACCCATTAATATCTATCTGGTTAATATAAAGAGTTGTAGCATTCATATGATTAATTAGAACTTTCACTTGTGTTTGTATTTATTGAGATTAAATAAAAAAATTTTATGACACAGGAATATAGTGAAATAGGGTTTTAACTAAGCCAAGAAGGATGATTTTTTTAATCTAAGTAGACCTGAATTTTCTGAAAAATTTAAAACAATCTAACAATGCCAGCATGAGCCCTTAGTCGCCTAGGTAATAGAGAAGGTTTCCATGGAAACCTGTGGGTCTGTATCAGAGAAATGCCTTGAATTTTAATGGTATGAAAGAGCATCATCTAAGGAATACCAAATAGTTATTGCTAACTGAAAGTTTCTTGCTGGTCATGACTAGCCTTTTATGTTCGTATCTGCTAATAGTGTGATTACATTTGCCAGAAAACCACCTTTAGATATGCAAATCCTTGTAAAAGCTAATATGCTGTATCCTTTCCTTCAGATGCCAGTTTCCATGCCCAGATGTATTTTCTTATAAAGAAAGATTTGTTTCCTAATTATGTCACATGTTTGCATTAAGTGTGATGAGTTATGAAATTTTTCTTACCAATTGCCCATGAGAATCATAATAGATCCATACCATGACTATCAACTGTGATTTTCTAAGCACATGAGCTAGAGTGTAATAAAGGACTGGGTGGGAAGACTCTGTTTCAGAATATGCTTTCTGTTTTATAAAAGAGTTCTCAGAACAGAGTGCTCCCTGTTCAGAGGGTATTCAGAGAATTACTGTGCACTAAAACTTTTGACCATTTCATTGATGAGTATTTCTTAGAAGCTAATTCACAAGAGTCATCACCTCTAGACTTCCTTGCAGACTTGGTACAATTCACAGCAAATTAGCAAAGGGAGGTAAACTA